TCAGTACAGATCAAGAGACATATGCAGGCTGTGATTGGATGATATTGTGTAAGATTTTTATGTCTTTTAAATGCACATCCATCCAGTAATTAAAACTGCCCATATTTTTCAATATTTGGTGCTGACTTTTTGAACAAGATGACTTGTGCTTTATGTGAGCACAGATATTTTCAAGCAGGTGATATTTGGTGCGGAACTGGGGTTGGTGTGTTCAGCTTCCTGTACTCGGAAAAGGAGCTGGGTAAACTAGCCAAAATTTGTGTTTTTATTGCAGCTTTCAGGCCAGACTGTGCACATATGTAAATGTTATGGCTGTTGAATGCCTAGTTGTTTTTTAAAAAGCTATAACGTTACTATAGAAGTCTATGGGAAAACATTTGGTTGTGTGTAACCTGTATGTCCAATATTTTCATATTCCCTGCGTTTCACATCATCGAATTTTGGGTTATGTCCTAAAAATCCACATTTATCATTCAGATTTTTTATGCCTGAAATCTTGTGAATGCTTTCTATTTCTTAAGAAATTCAGCTTGTGAAAAGCAACTGCAGCTTTTCCATGTTTCTGTAATTCATGTGCATACCTTAAAGATTCCGGGGTATAATAGGTCTTCAGCAACCCATGATTGCTGTAAAAGGTGACTTTGCTTCTCGTAAAAGGCGACTAACGGGATCGGGTGGTCAGACTCGCTGACTTGGTTCATGCATGCCAATTGCGTGGCTACGTATACGGCACTGGGATAGTTTGTTGTCATTCTTTATAAATAGATCTAGGTATGATAAAGATGAGGCCGTTTCACTTTACACTTTCATTTTTAGTGCAGGTGGATATTCCAGTGGAACGGTATTCGTATGTGACAATTATTGAACAATATCAGATCACTGATACACTTAAAACTTACCCTAAACCTTTTGGCAAAATTTCACATTGGTCTTATCTGTCAGGAAGTCCAGCATTCACATATTGCTTTCTCAATAAACTTCAGATGACATTTACTCTCACGTTTGACAAATTGTCCTGCACTTTGAAGACCGAGATGTAACTATATCTATTGTCACCACGTGACTTAAAGAATAAAAATTGAAACATTCACAATAATCTTCAAAACTGCATCGTGACCTGCGACAGATAGTTTTCCCCTTTCTCTGATCATGCTTACGTTATCCAATGGAATGATGAATGTCACTTCCTTAACGTGTAAACTCATGTTAAAAGTAAGGCTTCAATGAAAATGAGACATGTCACGCATCGGTTAACGACTGTTAGCACCATTGTGTTGGGAGTTATCCCATACAATATTCACATTTGATATTAAGATAACATCTAGATGGTAGTCGCATGTACAAGGTAACAGGAACATGAAAGTTCAGCGTTTCTGAAAGTACACACTCAAGGCACAGTGCAGCCATGACCTGTCCGACTGCTGTGTTCTGTTAATCATCATTCATTTCACTGGCAACGAAAACACAGTCTTCAATGATAAAAGTTGCTGATTCTTAAAGAATCCTGTTGAATTACATGGTTAGTCATAGGTTGAACACTAGAACACTATCGCCGTCAAAATGGGAACTGGACATATCTATATATTTACGAGAACATGAGCATTAAATCAATTTTCTTCCCGAAAAAAATTAACAAATATATATGAATGTTTGCGTGCCCAGATTTGTTTTATTTTCACACTGTGAATAGCCATGTGACAACTAACCAAAAGCTTCTTAAAGGGCAACTTTTTCAATGAGCTATAGTATTTGAAACACTCATACACAATCGTGTGTTCTCCTCTGAACGATTGTATCGTGCATGAGAAATATAAATGCATAATGTGCAATGTTTCTAGGTGTTAAAGTTTGTTATTGCTCTTTGTCATTATTGTTTATATATGAGCAGTTCCTGAAGAAAATAAGTTCATGAAGTAAGGAAATCGAAGTCTTTTCATGTAAGTTTTCTGTTTCCGTAATTAGGTTTCAGACAAGGGATATATTATTTAATTATTCAAGTGGGAGCTCTACTACTGTCAAGTGAAAACGAAAGTTTGAACATTTTAAAGTTAAATAACAAATATTATTCAAGTACCTTGTTCCTTATTTATTTATTTTTTAACCAAATAGGTATTCGTCCGAGACATATCAATTCAGGCTTAACTATGACACAAAGCTCACACGTAACTGAAATACTCATTTATTTGCTTCCATGTCCATTCTGTCTATATTTTGCATTCCTGGTTATGAAGAGGAAGCTATTGTCATTGTAAAATAATGACGAAGTAGAATATCTAGGCACAGCATTTATTAAAAAATAGAGCTCTTTATCAAGTCAACAGTAAATCATATGTTTACATATATAACCAGCTTTTCACGGGCATATTTCATGCTTTGCTTCTCAAAGGTTCTGTAGGCTACAACGGATGACTACAACAAGGAATTGGAAGAATCAGCTGTACCAATTCATTCGACTTGATCAGACCCTGCTCCGGGGCGGTCGGGTAGCTTGTGGTTAAAGCGCTTGCTCGTCACGCCGACCCGGGTTCAATTCCCGACATGGGTACAATATGTGAGACCATTTCTGGTGTCCCCCGCTGTGATATTGCTGGAATATTGCTAAAAGCGGCGTAAAACCATACTCACTCACTCACTGGTCACCTTGAAGACCCGGGTTCGATTCCCGACATGGGTACAATATGTTAAGCCCATTTCTGGTGTCCCTGCCGTGACATTGCTGGAATATTGCTAAAAACGGCGTAAAACCATACTCACTCACTCACTCACACCCTGCTCCGTTAGAGGAATAAGAAGAGAAAACTTCTAAGCATGTAAATGTCATTACATTACATTTGTGCCCCCTATTCTTTATATCCTTGAATATGATTGCGGGTAAAGTTTTAATTTATTTGGAAAATTGTTATTACACGTTGACATAAAGCAGTAGAACTGATGGGCCATTACAAAATGTGCAAAACTGGACACACCTGTAAATATAGATTTGTCAAAAACGTAGTACTGACAAAGTAGAAACTTTACCTTGTGTATGCCAAACATAGAGAAACACATATTATAAATATTCATCTTGCAGGGTTACATTGCTACATGTCGTTTACATAATCATGAATCATACATAAACAAAATCTTTGTGAACGAGGCTTCTCATATACAAGGAAAGTATCGGAGCACAAGGAGTATACATAATGAGGGCTGGTGAGTGGCTTATGTCCTTGTGTGTAGTTTCCATATGGTATAGGCTTGCAGCCATCCAACACATCGCCCAACACATAATACAGCAAACACCACACACAAAGACATTTGTGAAAACAACAGCTTGTTTCAATGAAATGAATTTAATGAACCGTCCAAAATATTAGTTTTTCATCGCGATCTAACAACACGTCCAAAGCTTTAGTTTTATCAAGAAATTACAAACTGAAGGAGGAAATAACCTGGAGAGTGACCATTGAAATGTATGGGAAAAGTATTGTGTGGTATGTGCCATGAACTTTATCTCCAGACCATCATGCAGGAAGTTAGAAGTGTGTTTAAACAGAAATGACCTGTGTCATACATTTCTGTGGATATCTATTGTTCATCGTACACAACAAGTTCCTATGACATGGACTTTTTCGGTCGGTATAACCTGGACATTTCTTTCTTTGGAGTCATTGCAAATTCCGGCTCATGAATAAGGCTGTTACGACTAGACAGAAGCACTTTCTCTACACATACATGCTGGCTATCCGTCTGTTCTATGACCCATTGTGTTCAATTCAAGAACTTACGGTTGTGTAGTCATCACATATGTCTCGCAACACAACATACATCACGGTTTGCTTGTCTGGTTTGTGCACATAAGCGACATCATCACTGAACAGCATAAAATATAGCCATTATTTTCCCGGTAGGCGTAGTGTTTGATCATATTACTCATTCATAAAGTCTTACTTACCGTCAATATACATGAAGATATGTAGTTACGATCAGCCCAATGAAAGAGTGAATGTTAATAAAAGCCAATTTCAGGTAATGATGGCGAGCGTGTGTTCCAAATATATCTAAACGGATCTGATGTTTTCAGTTCCTCTGTGAGCTGATTGGGGCTGTTATTAAATAAGAATAAAGTAATAATGAAAACGTGGTAATAGGTTCACAGGTTTATTAATAAGAGATAATTGTACTAATAGATGACAATAAAAGATCAGAAAAAACCCAATCTACGCTGACAAAGATCACTGATTATTTATATCAGAGCAAATACACAAGCGGCTTATCTAAGCAAAAGTATTACAGTTATAAAATGAGTGGAGCTCAAGCAACACTTTGACAAGATACCGACCAGATGTGTAGATAGCCAATTAAGTCGGCTGCGACCAATTATCACCTGAGTAAATTAACTCGACACTATAATGAGTGAGTAATCTCGGCTAGGTTCAATAACGGGAAATAAACACAGAGGGCCTAGCCCTAAAATAAGTCACGTAAGTCACAAAATAGACGAGTACGTCTTAATATCAATTAGTCAGATCTAGTAAAGGTTCAGTCACTCTGTCTGGACAAGGAAATACTAAAATTCCCAAATAGCTAGACAAGCACGGGAGGGTTTGTTATCCATGGATTACCAGAAAAACTGAGTATTACAAACCAAAGCTACTAAGTTTGGCGCAGTACAATCAGACTAAGTCAGAACTTAGATCGAACAGTGTCCCATAACAACTTACTAATGAAACATGAGTATCGAACGAGACCATCCCAGTAGTGAGACATCGTAAACGATTTAACAAAACCTGGGGGGTAAAGAGACACGATACGACAGAAGTATATATATACTGCGCGGGGCCTCAGGGTGGTCAATCTCTCCTGGACAGCTGGAATACACAACAGACTAGGGCGCTTAGCCAAACTGTGATTCTATACACAGGGAAAACACGAATAGCAAACTAACTACTATATCAATACTGAAGTTGTAAGTATCAAAATATAGCGCTGGGCATGAACTATCCCAGGGTATCATTAAGGACATACCACAAGCAATTAGGTACAATTATTGAGGAGGCAAAATGATCATAAATAAATGAGAAATATCTGATGGTACATTTTAGGTCCCCTAGCGTTTGAAAATCATAGTTACAAAGACATTTTCAATACAAGAATAAGATAGCGAACATATTATGAGATAACATACATCAATTCAATACATGGTATGAGAGAGCCATTAGATCACAAAAGAATGAAATAGTCGGGCAACTAATTCCCTAACACAGAATGTAATGACACTGGACACTGACGACCGCCGGATTTAACTGAGCGGTGTCGGAAATAAATCCAGGAAGGGGAGAGGTCACAAGACTGTTACATGAGCAAAATAACGACCCGGTTACACTATGTCCGCACGGGCATTGTCACTTTAATCATGCCCAGGTTCTTAACAATCTTCAATAGTGGCGTATCCTTCATTCTCGTCGTATTTCGGAGTGATATATAATACTGGAAGCCTGTGGACATGAACAGATCCTTTTTTTATTAGCACATAATTTCTATTGATACATCATTGAGTTACAATTGATATGAAGAATCAAATAGCCAGTTTAAGTTTCTTGGTAATGCTTACCTTCTGTTCCCGATCCCTGAAATTGAAACACTGATTTTAGTTTTGATAAACAATACTCGATCAACAATAAGTGATCAGCAAAGCTTCTAGCAGAACGTTTATTACAAATGCTGAATTATCGGAATTAAGGTACGTTTGAAAGAACAAAATAAAATAATAACATTTGATTTAGAAAAAAATGAATGAAATTCGGATTTTTTTTAAATCATAGCCTTTACATTTCTCACAAAAGTAACTTCTCCCGCTTGACTTGTGATCTCAACTGAGGCATATACATGTGAGTGTGTTCTGCAGATGGAATATCAGTACATCACGGTACATGCTAAGGGTTTTGGGACAGTCAGATTTTATGGTGTTGTTTGTTTGTTGATTTACGCCTTACTCAGCAAAATTTCAGCCATATTACGACGGTCTACATAATTGAGTATGCAGAAAATTTAGAGACTTCGTCATGGACTTCGATCAGAAGGGACACGATGACAAGCAATTAATCAAATGACCGAGCTGACAACACAATCCACTAAGTAGCCTCTTACAAGCATTGGTTGCTATATGGGGGGCACGGGTGGCCATGTCGTCTAAGGCGCCGCGATTCGCTGTGCAGCGTTGCGTCCCTTGGGTACGCCAGAAGCTTATGATTGTTGGTTCGAATCCCGGTTCGCCCCAATTATGTTTCTTTGTTTCTCAGCACCATACCCGTGTTCGTGGGTTTCACCGAAGTAGTAAACGTCTGAGACCTGCATCACTTCGGGCTTTCCTCCAACATTAAGCTGACACGCCGCGATATAACTGGAATACTGTTAAAAGCGGCGTTAAACCCAACTCACTCACTCAATTGGTGGCTATGTTCTTACCCTCCCAACGGGTTTTAGGGCAAGTGACAGAGAATGATGTACGTTTCTATTGAAAGAATCACGAGGGGTTTTATTGTGGAGCTTATTGATATCCTGTTCAATTGTAATTGTTAAAGCTTCGGTCCCTCACCTTTCTGTCGTTTGCGTCTCACAAGACAAATTACGGCTGTGACGATGATGCTGACAACTGAGCTCGAAGCCGAATACCCGACAATGGTGATGACAGAAGTCCCTTTCCTTGTTTCATTCTCGCTGGGTTCAGGAGGGGATGAAGTGTGGACCGTCTGCGTGATGGTGGATACATTTCCTGGCACAATCCCTACACAACACATGATATGTCAAAATGCTTATTATTGAATGACAGGAATGTGCTTCATAACCTGCGGTAGTGATTGTGACAGGTTGTGTAGCTTGTCTGGTCGTAGTGTCATCTAAAATAATTAATGCATGTCAAAATTATAATCATGAGGGGTGATTATGGCGGGGAGTTACTGTTACAAGAGTATATATGAAGACGGACGAACGGACAACAACGCACCACAACATTAGACGATTTGACTTTCAGTTAGGTGAGATAACCATTACTCATTATTGGCAAGTGTGTGAAAATGAACATGAGAGCAAGACAAACTTCATAATTGCACACAGACACAGACACACACAGACACACACAGACACAGACACACACACACACACACACACACACACACACACACACACACACACACACACACACACACACACACACACACACACACACACACACACACACACACACACATATATATACCAGGTGTTCTATCACCATGATCACTAGTTGGGTTGCTGAAAGTGACTGGCTCAAATGTGGTCTGATCCTCTCTCACAGTCGAAACGAACGTCATATGAACTGTGTTAATGATATTCATATACGGTGAATCAAAATATAGGTTGTGGATTAATTTTTAATATCTAAATATGTGTATACAATTACACTACGGAGCATGCATAGAGACAAATGTGTCAAAATTTTACTTTTGTTGTTTTGCTGAATGACTGCGTTTAGGAAATGTA